GTGACGGAGACACTTTTGTAAATTCCTTGATTAAAAAATAACTACTTGACCAGACTGAATAACAAAAGTCCCTTCTTTACTTATCTCTGAATGAAAATCTAATCTGGAATGCCTCTCTTGACATTCAGGAGGCAGATGTTCATTTCCAAGATATGGCCAATCAGCATAAGAGCGTTGTAAAAATACTTAAAGTGTACAGGGAAAAAATGCAGATAGCAGAGAGTGAGTAATCCAATTCGAAATGAGAACTTCCAGGGAGTTCCATGTGACTCAGAAAAATAGGTGAAATTTGCAGCCTATTTCTAAATCACAGGAGCAGAATTGCTTCTGAAATAATATGCATTCCTTAGTCCATTCAGATGTATTACTATGATGATATAATGATGACAAATGCTGTATGTCAGTATAGTTCCATATGTGCTATTTGGTTGTTTTTCAGTTGTAGGAAGCTACATTTAAAAAAAAAAAAATTAAAATAAGCGTGCAAAGTCAAACACTCAAAAGTTAGGAATAGATTGCCTGTGCAGCCTTAATTTGGCCTCCTTGTGTTTGTGCTATGAAACAATCTTTAATTACATGATCACAAGTTATTTTTTCCACAGGACCCTTGCCTTCCTCAGTGCACAGGATGGACGATTCTCCTGGAATGAAGCTGTTGTCTGTAGGATCCCTACCTCATTTGTTGCAGAAGTTGGAAGGTGTGTAGTGAATGAGGCAGAGGATTGCAGGAGGAGAAAGAACAGTGTCATGATTAAGGCAGCTGAATGCTGCCCTGGAGCACTGGATTCTATCCCTGTCTCTGCCACAGAGTTCCTCTGTGATTCTGGCCAAGTCACTTAAACCAAACTTTTCACTGGTGGCCATTAATTGTGTTCCTCATTTTCTGGGTGCCTGGCTTGATACCCTGGGGTCTGATTTACAGATGAGCTGAGCATTATCAGCTGTAGCTTAAGTTAATGGGAGCTATGATTTGAACATGTAATGTGCTATATAATGCTAAGTACTCTGAAAAATCAAGGCCTAAGTTTTTTCCAGGGGGGCACCAAAAATGGTGGATATCTTTGACAATTTCAGCCTAAAACTCTGTGCTTCAGTTTCCCATCCATAAAATGGGGGTGGTAATACCCCTAGGGTCACTGAAAAGTTGTAAAGATAATTTCATTCATCTTTGTGAAGAGTTCAGGTGCTCTGGTGAGAGCACCATAGAAATGCCAACAAGGAAACTAATAATTTTGTATTCAATACAGGGTTTGGATGATGTGCATGAAATAAGGCCTAAGGCCACACATTGAACAAGGAGGATAAAAAGAAATATTAAATAACCCCCCCATTCACAGCATAAAGAGGAAATCTTGTGGAAAAAAATAGCATGTGATCCTGTAATTAAAGACTGTATCATAATGCGTACACGCAAGGGGACTGAATTAAGGTTGCAAGTGAAACCTTTAATCTGGCACTTCCTAACGTGTGTTTGGAACCTTAATGTTCTTTAACATTGATTTTAAAAAATGTAATTTACTACAGATGGGCATCATGGGCTAATAAAATTAATACAGGATAGGGAGTCAGGAACCGTTGAGTTGTAATCTTATCTCTGCCACTGACTGGCTGTTTGGTGATCAGATTACTTTCCCTCTCTGTGCCTCAGATCTCCCTCCTGCAAAATGGGTGTTGTGAGGATTAGTTCTCTGTAAAAATACTTTAATGGTGAAAAGAGCTGTGAAAGTGTTTAAATGTTATTGCTACTAACATTTGAAAGTGTAAGGTATGCATGTCCCCCTCCAGGGCTCTAGAATCAAACCATGCCCATGGACTACAGGTGGTTTTGAATGTCCTTTTGCTGGGCTTTGGTTGACGAGCTTTGCTTCTTTCTCTTTGTCACAAGGCAGAAGGGAAGAGGTAGGTTAAAAGCATTATAGATTTTGGGTTGGTAATAATGGGCTCAAGTTAGTTTCATCTGAAAGCAGCACGTCTGAAATGCAGAGAATCCCATGAAAATTCAACAGCTTCAAAGTTTGTACAGAGGAATCGGAGGCTGATTTATTTTTTTCATGAGGCCGTTATAGTTCCTAATGAATAGTTCTAGTTTCCACTGAAGTTATAAAGAGCTTCCTTGTTTATCATTTTCCTGCTCTTTCCCTGAGTGGAAATGTTACAAATAGTGATGCTGTGGAGAACAGGAAGGCATATAATGGGGCTGTGAGTGATGAGTAAAGGAAGCTTCATACCCAACATCTTAATGAAGAAATAAAAACTGAAATGTTAAATGCAGGTTGTTTTTAATTGGGGAAATCCAGTGCAGAATCATCAAGTAAATATCTGTGTTTATTCTGTTGCAATACACCTATGATAGTAATGGCTTTTTACAATCGGTGATCTCCAATACCAGCTTGTTGGTTTCTGGTTGATTTTAAGATGACATTGACCTATAAAACTTAAATGATCTGGGATCTACTTAAGTAACAGACCAGTCATACTCAGACCTCAGTGATTCAGGAGCCAAATTAGCGATCAACATTACCCCAAAAAGCCACAATAGTGTAAATTAAACCGTATGAAAGGGATATATAAAATGTTATCAACTACAATTGGTTAATAACGTAGTAAAAGCATTCTGATTGGTTAATAACTTAGATTGGTTAATAATTTAAATCACACAAGGTTTTCGTATCATGTGCTGCAAAGAGCCACAGGAGACACATTAAAGAGCCACTTGCGGCTCGAGATCCTTAGTCTGAGTATCACTGTAATAGACCATCGCTATCCCCATGACATACTACTACACTTAGTCAGTCGAGGCACCTTACATAGAGCCTTGTTGGTATAAAAGAGAGGGGCTACAGGCAGGCTGTTCTTCTTCAGGACTTAGTAAATCGGTTTGTTTATGTATTTTTAAGAGTTTGCCAAGGGCTCCTAGAGTTCAGGAGGGGTACTTTTTTGTTTACTGTAGTATAAACTTAAATGGGAAGTCAATACTGTAGTTGGAGAGTCTTTGCAGGCTACGTAGCTAATCTGTTGCTATCAATTAGAGCTGGAATGTAAATCAACCTTGCTCCCTACTTGGAGAATACCTGGTTATAAATATGAACTATGCAGGGGAGGAAAATGTAAAAATAATAGAGTGGGAAAGGGTAGATGACTTTGAAGCTTACTGAGAGTATTTCATTTGTTTGCAATCCAGTGACTGTAACCTCTGCATCTGAAATTTTAGTGCTAATAGTCATTAGCACTAAAGTCTCATTTAGAGAGGATAACTGGCTGGGTTTGTGACTGGAGCATTTTACTGGGTGCTGTGCATATGCTCAGGTCTGCAGTTTGAGGTTGTTGGAGAAAACCTACTTCCACAAGGTTATGTGTTCAGATGGTGCAACCACATCTGGAATATATTGCTGGGTGTCCTCATCATAACAAACCAGAGAGAGTTCGGAGAAAAACAACAAAGTGGGAGGATTAGGAGAGTTTGAGAAGATTGATACATAAGGAAATATTGAAAGGATTGAGTACGTGTAGCATGGATGAGTGATGATTAATAAGGGAGATAATGGTCTACAAATATCTAAAGAGTGTAAAAATCAGGAATGGAGAGGAATTATTTGGGATGGCATAAGAGGTATGATTGAGTTAATATCATCCCATTAAGAGAGGCAAAATTTAAGCTAGAGATCCGCAAAAATATATTGACCATTAGATCCACTAAAACTCTAAAATAGTCTCCCAAAGAAAGAGGTGGGAAGTGCCTTTTGCTTGAGAAATTTAAAACTAGACTGGACAAAGCATTAAAAATGCACTGTAGGGAGCAATCCTGTACTAGCAGGGGACCATCTTTTTTCTTGTGTTTCTACAGAACCTAGCACACTCTGGTCCCTAGTTGCTAACGTAATACAAATAATTATTATGAATAATAATATGACCAACTTACTTTTTTCTGATCTCTGTATTTTGTGATTTTTGTCATCTGGTGTGTTCTGCTGCATTTTGTGGATTAGCAATTGAAAGATTTCAAATGTAATTATGAGAACAGCGTGACAGCATCCTCATATCTCTTTCCTTTAAAATGTGTCTCATAGTTAGTGTTTGAACTCTTGCCTAGTGTATCTGTGGGCAGTGAAGAACATGGATAATTAGATTACAAAATAGCATTTCTCTATTGGTGTGGGGGATTTTCCGTGCAAAAGATAGATTTTCCAGATAATAGCAGACAAGTCTGTTCTTTGTTTGTCCCTCTTCTCCCCCACCCCATTACCTTCATTTTCTTTACTTCCCCAGTGGTTTTCATTCATCTTCTTTGATCCTGAATCCCTTTTAAAAGGTTGGGGAAGATGGAGGTACTAGAGACAGCCAGACTGTTAATATATGTATGAAGTGAGCTGATGCAAACTACTGTGGGAGGCTGGGTTGCAGTTTTATAAGCAGTCAGTATATATTGTGGCTAGTCCAAGACTTTTTGGGTGACTTTTGGAATGCATAAATAGGGAATCTTGAGTAGGAGTAGAGAGGTTATTTTACCTCTCTATTTGGCACTGATGGGACTATGTTGATAAATTGGAGAGGGTTCAGAAAAGAGTCACAAGAATGATTAAAGGATTAGAAAACAGTGTTGCTGATTAGGACTAAATACACCAGAACCTCTGCTAGTGTATCAGGCAACTTGACATCTCTCAAGGACCATCCATCTACATTCCATCCCTAACGCCCCAATTTTTATTTTTATTTTTATTTTTGCATACATTTTTTAAATTGTGAGTAGCATTGGAATCTGCAGGGAGCCACATGCAGCCCTCCAAGACTGCAGAGAGGATCAACAACACATGGAAGGATAAGAGAAAAACAAATCAAGGAGTGAGTGAGAGTGTGTAGGGTGTGGCATCCCCAGAACTCTGAGACAGGGGGGGAGGAGAACCCTACTGTACCTCTTCCCAGAACATCCAGAATAAAATCTGAAATCCACTGGCTACTCTGCTTCCCCACTACCAAGAGAATGACCTTCTGTTTTGTTTCAGAGCTGGAGAAGGAGCTTACCAGGAGGCCCAAGAAGGTCTGCATTGTTAAAGTGGTGGGAACCAGGAACCTGTGGAAAAACATTGTAGTATTGTGTGTGAACTCGTAAGTCCAACATATTCCTGTCAAGTATGTTGAATGTTTTCTCTGTTGGTAAACTGAAAGTAGATGTGGACGGTGATGGAAATATGGAGGCTCTTCTGCCCCATTACAGGACCCTTAACCCAGTGTCTTAGGGCTGGTCTACACTGCCGCGCTAGTTCGGCGGCTGGGGATCGAAGTTCCGAGTTCGATTTATCGCGTCTGGTCTGGACGCAATAAATCAAACCAGGAAGTGATCCCCGTCGACTGCGGTACTCCAGCTCAACGAGAGGAGTACCGCGGAGTTGACGGGGAGCCTGCCTGCCGCGTGTGGACCGCGTCTGAACCGCGGTAAGTTCGAAGTAAGGTATGTCGAATTCAGCTACGTTATTCACGTAGCTGAATTTGCGTACCTTACTTCGACTTGGGGGGTAAGTGTAGACCAAGCCTTAGAGAGCTGATCTTTGATAAGAAGAGTGAGTTCTACCAGAAGAGTGATCTCGTGTAGAAGCTTAAGGAAGTAGTCATCTGACATTTTAAGCTGTGGAGCAAAAAGCATAAGGTGCTTTCTTGGGAATGGTAGCTGTGCAAGTGCATTGTTGTGTCCGTGACCAACTGTATATTTCTGTCTTGCACAAACTTGCTACTCTGGGTAGGATTTTCCGAATGACAAGAGCAGAAGTTCATTGACTTTCACATGAATTCCACCCTCCCCCTCCCAGTTTCAACAGGACTTGTGCTCCTAAGTCACTTAGGATACATCTACACAGAGTTTTAAAATCATGGTCGTGAGTCTCAGGCCCTGAGTCTACAGACTGGGGCTCATGCCACAGCGCTAAAAACAACTGTGTAGAGGTTTGGACTCAGCTGTAGCTCAGGCTCTGAAACCCAAGGAGAGGAGGGGAGTGGGCTTTTGAGGCTGAGCTCCAGCCCAAGCTGCAACGTCTGCACTGCTGTTTTCAGCACCGTAGCACAAGCTCCAGTCTGTACACCTGGGCTCTGAGACTCACTGCCACAGGGTTTAAAACACAGTGTAGATGTACCCATAGGTGCTTTTGAAAATCCCACTTTATACCTCCAATGGATAATGTCAAGGAAGCAGATCAATCCGAACTGATTAATGTCTTTGGTGCATTCGATGGTGTCCTTTTTAAATTTAAACCAAATTGTTCAGTAGTTTCGTGTTGGGTCTTGTAAGTTTCTCTCAAGTGAGAGGTCAAGCTGTAGATTTCCATTATCCTGGATTAAAATTAATGGCTACCAGTTTAATTTGCATGTCTTAAATTATCTGGGAGGTAGAGGGGAGCAAGTGAGGTGAAAAGTCCAAGGATATTGCCATCTTATCCTGACTTTATTTCAAATAAAGCACAGGGGAAAGGAGGAAATAAGCACATATGGTTGATTTGAATGTAATCAATTGCAGAATTATAACACTGTTTGCATAATTTATCTACAATCTGTTTAACATTTTCTAAAATGTAATGGATTAATTTGGCAAAGGAAGAAGTTGCCTGGCAATAAATACTAAGCTGTGGCCTGTATAGCAGCGGACCATGATGTCCTGAAAATTGGACAAAAAGGACTTCAGTTCCTCCAAATCATTAAAGGGATATACAGGGAAAGTGCACTTTCTCAAACACAGTAGTGTGACACCTACATTCTCAGGCCTCAATCTGGCAAATATCTACATGAGTGAAGTTAAGCATGTGCTTAAGTGTTTGCAGGATCAGGCCCTGATTGAGAGTTATTTCACACAAAACTGGGAGAGCTTCTCAAGTGTGTAATAAAAGTAAATGTACAGTCTTGAAATCTATTTCAAAATTGCCCTAACTACTTTTGAGGGTGTGGAAGGGAACAGGAGAAAGTGAGGGGGCAACGATAGTGGAGTTTCCTAGTTTGTCAATTATATAAAGTGCCCATTTGGATCACCTGTGTGATTTTTAAATTGGGATGGAGTGGTGGTAGTAAGACCAGAAATTGCCTAGAAAAGTTATGTGTAGAAATATATGTTCCCTGCCCATAGTTGGAATTTCCACTTGATTTTAGGGCCCCAACCTGTAATCTTCACTCACATGAGACATTAGTGACCTATGATTATGAATTGCAGCATTGGATCAACTGATCCTGCCTGGGTGAGGCCCATTGACTCTAAAGATCTATCTGTGCTGAATCAGTTGCCTGATCAGCGCCTTAATTTACAGTGTCGGTTGGTGAAAGAAGTGGTGGGCTTTTAATAACCACTGCGGTGGCCTCATGCATTTTGGAGCAATTTTTTTGCTGCTAGACTGAGTTTATAGCTACAGTAACTCAAGTGGATTTATGAACATTGTCTCTGTATGAATTCCTCCCTCACCCCACCCCACTTTTAATTAGACTTGTTTGGAAATTCCCAAGACCAGAATAAAAGCAACACAAAGGATGATTTTTGGGCCATTGTCAGTGGAGAAGTTTTGCATTCTTTGAAGACTGTGAATAAAATTTGTGTTTATCAGGCAGATCTCAAGTTTATTTTAGGGAAAGAAGAGCCTATTTTTCATCATTATTATTATTATTATTTATTATTCCTCCTGCATCTGTCCTGAGATTCAGGCAGGTGTGAATTTTGGGAAAAATAAGACATTTCAGGGGAGAAAGAGGAAATTTTTTTCAGGGCACGTTGATTTATTTAAAAAAAAAAAGGCAACTGTTTGAATCTCCTCAGAATTGTAGGATGTTAGAATAAATCCCGGGGATGTGGATTAAAGGGAAGAGCACAGGTAATAAATTGTATAATGAATTCATTTATCTCATGGGCCTTCCGTTTATCACATGGATATCATCTCTGCATATATTTGTGTAATATATTAGTGTTGTCTAGTTGCGTATTAAATAGTGTTTGTAAGATAGCAAGCACCAGAGTTAAGACAGAAAATAAATTATGTACCGATTATTCTGTAGATTTCGGAAGCAAATGAAATTTTGTACAAGAATAAACAACTCCGTGTCCTGTAGTGCATTCTGTCAGTGTAAAACATGTCAATTCTGCAGTTCCAAAAGGTGCACATTTCTATCTTGGCTTTCACTGACTGGTCTGCTATGCACAGGGCTGTCATTCATGTAGCTGTTATAAGTCCCCACCGTTTGTTTATTTAAAAAAACAAAAAAGCTTTCCGTAGTTTGGTTTCCATAAAAATTGTTTCGAAATCCTGAAATTAAGTAGGATAGATGGTGTAACATACTAGCCATTCATTCTGGAGACCTAGGCCCAAATGTGGCTTAATGATGCAGATATGGAATGAATTTGGCAATATTTAGTCTGCTCCTTAGTTACTGTAGCAGGTCCACATTACCTAAATGCTACAGAATTTGCCACAGATATGAGGCCCTTTTCTGGGAGAGGTGTAGCACTAAAATACACCAGTAGCTCTGTCAGCGCATGAAATGATTTTACATTGCACTAAGGTCTGGCACTATCCAGATAAATCTCACCGCACCCACCATTTATTTTTTTAATAAATATTTGAAACAGAGGAGAAATGGTCAATAGAGGAACCTGTTTTCATGTAAAAAATAAGTGAAAGAAATTGATACTGAAGTATGGCATGAATCACAATTCAAGCCATAGATTTTCTGTTTCATAACAGTCATAGTAACAAATTAAATACAGGTTCAGTATGTCACTTTAAATATGCATTTTAAAAGTTATTTTGGCAGCAGCACTACCTTGGGGAGTGAAGTTACTATCTGTGGTGTGATCTGTTTTGTATTAAGCTTCCTTGCTGCCCAGCCATACAGCCCTTCTTCATAAAACTGATCACAGCAGAACTCATTCTAAAGGCCATGGGTCGGATGTTAGATCGTAACAGACGTCTGTTAAATTAATCTGAAGGCAGCTTCTGATTGGTTTTCATGACTGATTTCAGGTTGCTTCCAATCACATAATAAAAATGTAATCTCACATGGCTTGATTTGGGAACTGCTGTGGCTTAGCACCTATTAGAATCAGGTCAGTTGATCACAAGTCTTTTGGTTTGGTCAATTTTTGATCATTGTTTATTTGTATTACAGTAGAACCTTGAGGCCTCAAAGGAGATCCAGCCCCCAGTGGGCTCGGTGTTGCATAGGCTTAGTAAGAGAAGTCCCTGCCTCAAAGCGTTTGTTTTTCCTTTTCTTTCCAGCTCCTTGTTGCATTGCAATATTTGCCTGCCTGTTCAGAAGTGGTCTCCCATTGTCACTTTCTGTCTCCTCTAGGCTGACCGGGTTTGGGATACATCACTGCTTTGCAAAAAGCATGATGGGTCATGAAATGAAGAACTCGAACCCCCACCATTTCTATACAGACTACTATACCATGGCAGGGATTGCCCTGGCCTCCTGCCTGGCTATGTGCCCGGTCGTTGGGTTTCTAGGGCGAAGAGGGGGACTGCTGCTGTTCATGATTCTCACAGCTCTGGCATCGCTGCTACAGTTAGGCCTTCTCAACTGTAAGTGACTTGCACCTTGATACTGGTCAGAGAGCGTTACCTTGCAAAGCTGCCTGAGGCCTTGAATCAATGGCTGTTCTCAACTGACATATGGAAAAACACCTGTCTGTTGCAGAACAGAAGAGCAGTAGATCAGCTCTCTGTGGATGGTGCAGATTCACATGCTGTACAATCCCATTGAAAGCAATAGGGAATGTAAGTCACTGTAGATTTGGACCCATTCTCTATACATATTCAAGTACAATGAAACTCTTTTGTTCTTCCTCCAATTTCCCCTTTATTCTTTCAGTTCATTGTTCTAGGTGCAGGGATTTATTCCTGTAGCAGAGCTAGTCACCCACGCTGAGAAGAGTTAAAAACAGAGTGCATTTCAATCTCTGATGATGTGTCAAAATTGATTGTCTGGGTTTTAAAAGGAAACAAAAATTTTTTTTTGTGGTCTTAAGAGAATGCGTGGAAATGGCATACAATTTTTACCAGATTTTTTTTTCCTCCAAGGAGGCTCTAAAGGAAATTGGTTTCCCATTCTTGGTTCCCTCCTCTTTCTTAGATTTTCTGACCTGCAATGAGCCTGCTTAGGAAGTTGAATTGATTGATGGCAGAGTCCCAAAATTTCCATCCTCTTATAATTGCAAAAGAGGCAGTCTCTAGCAGAGACAAGAACAGTGAATACCAGGTCTGTGGGTTGATGCTGGGTGGGTTCAGGTTGTTTCTGGTTTTGCCACTCTTACAAAACTAGTAAAAAAAAAAAAAAAAAAAAAAAAAAAAAAAGTGTGTGTCTGAACATCTGTCAAATTGCCTTTTGGAGAAAAAGCCAGAGGGAAACATGTCTCACTACTATGAAGTTATTGGGAGCAGACCCACCCAAACTGGAGGTGTGTTCTCTATCTCCTCCCTCCCCCTTGGTAAATTTGTGTGGCCACACATTGGCCATACACAGGTAGCAGTGTAATTAAGACATATGTATAGCATATGCATGTGTCTAAGTAATTATTGTCACACTGCCTGCTATGGAACACAGCTAAGAACACCAATCTCAGGTCAGACTGCCAGAATACAGGGCATATACCCCAGACTGGTAGTTTAGTCTATCATAAGACTTCATCAAGCCAGTAACAAAAATGTGCTTCCAAAATACTGTACTACTTATTATGAAGCCAAAGATAGTTCTCTTTGGGACCTCTAGCCCCTTGTGCACCACCCAGACAAACCAGACTTCTGTGGTAAATGATTATTAAAACCAGAAATTGTATGTATTAACTTCCTCCAGTTCCATAAACCAGACACCCACCTGAGGTCAATATATACTTCAGGATCTTACCAAATAGCATGCTGCAGTCAATCTTCAGTAAACTAACTAAAGATTTTTTAATTAAAAAAAAGAAGAGTTATAAATGATTAGTGAATCATATACATTGCAGATGATGGCAGAGTTTGCAGATCAGGAGAATAGCAGTGATGTTAAATCTGCTATCTTGCAGTAAGTCTCCCTGGATCACCCAGAAGATTGGAGGTCCTCAGTCCATGTTCAAAGCTTCCCTTTGTTAGAAATCATAGTCCAGAGATGTGGAGCAGGCAAGGACATGATATCACAGTCTCCAATTTATACCCCCCAGTCCATGTACCTGGAAGGTTACTGGCACAAACATGGGAGTCAGGGATCACATGTTCTGTGTGCCTTGGCTGAGTCATGAGGCATCCATGGTCTACATATTCTCTGAGGCATAGGAAGGGGCCCTTTGGAAGAGTTGATTTTTCCTTAATGGTCCATCAACCATGGCTCGCTGGTCTTGATGTAAATCTGTCTTGTGGGTGTTACCCAGGAACACAATATGTTTGAGATATAGCAAAGATTCATAACTTCACATACAATGATAGTACACGCATATAAACAGGGTAACATTGTTCAACAGATTACAACTTTTCCAATGACACCTTAAAAGGCGTGCTTTGCATAAGATTTATCACAATTGTGCAACAGTGTTGATACGTCAATGGTTGCAACAGTGTTGGTACATCAGTGGTGATATGTAAACATGGTCATCTTCCTTTTAAAACAGCGTCACAATAATACTCTGCATAATGATGAACTACAAAAAGCATGCCTTTGAAGAAACAGAATTATGATAGTTAGATTACAACTATTTCTAAATTATTTTTGTTCTGCTGTGTTCCATTCTTAACCTTGAAGATGGACATAGAGAATTAATGAGAATTAATGTCATGCCCATGTTAAACCCTTCTGTTCCCACATGCTGAGAGCAACCGAAAGTCAACAAGAGGTGCAACTTATTGTCATTGCTGCACTTCTTAACATATTGGGCTTTTCAGATGTGCCCCATCATATACTGTTTGCCCTTTGTCCCCCTCCCATTTCTAAAAACTGCCCGTACAAAAGTAGGAGGAAAAGGCAGCCTTGAACTCTGGAACAGCTTGTATCCTTCCACTGCGGTCTCTCCCCCTCCGTCACATCCCACCATCACTCCTTATAGGCAGCTAGGCAATGGTTTGAAGAGAAATGAATGGCCATGCTGTTTGTATAATTTGTTAAAGGGGGGGTGTGTGTGTGTGTGTCTCTCTCTCTCTCTCTCGTAAGGCCTCAGTCAGGGATTTCCTTCCAGATTTCAGGGTTTCTCCTGAGTCAGAACTTCTCTAAGCTCTCTGGAGTAACCCAGCTGCTAGGGTGTTCTGCCAGGCTCGCATAACTATTGTTCTGCTTTTTATGTAGCATTTTAGTGCCGGGTAGGAACGTGGGCCAAAAAGCAGCTTGTGAATAATTTTAAACACTGTAAACTCGCTTTGGATTTTGGCAAGGGAAAAAGATGTGTTTTAGCAATGCAGGGATGCTGATTGTAATGGTTTCCTTCTCTAACTAAAGCCCCTGTGGTCATTCCCTCAGGGTTACAGCAAAGCTTGACTGCAGTTTCTTTTCCGCCTTTTTTTAACCAACAAAGAGACTTTTGTTTAATTTCAGTGCTAATTCTGGTTCTTTTCAAATGATTTACCACTGTGCGTTTATTATCATCATCTCATTAGAATTCCGTCCTCCAGTTGGGAATAGGCCTGGAAATTGCATGCCGTGTCAAACTGGTTTTGAAAGACTATTCCAATCCAGTCGTGATGCTGAAAGGAAAGAGTATGGGGAGGAGGTGGAGGGCTGCAGTTTGGTTTGGTGTGGGGGGAGGGTGTTGTGTGTTTGTTTTTCACTTTGAATAAATCACATATTTAACTCTCTCTCTCTCTCTCTCTCTCTCTCTCTCATATATATATTTTAATTTATCTTTTGCGGTCTGTGGATCCAGTGATCGGAAAATATAGTCAACTTCCAGACTCAGGTACTGTTTACAAATGTCTATGCAGTGTTTTTGAACTGCTTGCACTCTGAGTGGGTGTATCTGAAAGGCCAAAGTCGCTGAGGATACAGAGCCTGATTGCAGTAACTGCTAGTGTTCATGTGCAAGGTTGCTGTTGAGCTCAATGTCCTAGGACTCTTCTTGTAGAGCTAGCTGCTCATTTTTACAGGTCCTGTTCAATGCACCTGTGGGTCTGATCAGTTGCAATATAAGGATTTTTTCTGTAGGCCTGTGGTAGAGATGAGAACATTTTATTTGTATCTTCCTCTATTGCAGCATCTGCACTGTCTCAACCACAGAACTGTACTAGGTCATGATTAATTCTGGTTGTCTCCATACGCCCACCAGATTTGGGTGGGAAATGTCCAGTGCCTAAAAAATTGTTTGGAGACATTTCTTGAGCTTTACCACTTTGTGATGGCTGTTGATAACAAAGTTGGAGATTGTCTGTGTCTGTTTACTGCTATTTTTTTGGAAATATGTTATGACATTTTTATTTATGTTTTGGGTAGTTGGTACATGGCTTATTAAATATTGATTTAAATAAATGTTGGGGGAGGAGACTCAAACTTGCATCTAAGGCGAATGAGTGACTTAATATGGTATTCTTGTTTTATTTCTTGGGGACCATATACTGATTGTGCTGAGCTCAATTTCCATGTGCATGTGTCTGTCTGACTGTCTAACAGGTATGAGTGACAGCGTCAAGGACAAATTCTCTACTGCATTTTCCATTGTGGGTATGTTTTCTTCGCATGCTGTTGGAAGTCTTAGTGTTTTCTTCTGTGCTGAAATCACACCAACAGTAATAAGGTAAGACCTCCAAACTTCCCACCTTGGGGTGGGGAACCAGTTCAGATGTCCTTACTTTATTAATCATTTATTGTGTAATGCATACTTTTATTTATGCAAGGTGAAATCTCTAATAATCTGATACTGTCCAACGGACTCTGAGATGTTCTGTAGTTTGAGCAGTCTCTTGGGAGCTACTTTGCATATAAATAAAGAGAGATTTATTTACATTGCTTCAGACAGTTTCACCCTTTCTCCCATCATGATAATTCAATATTTTAATTAACAACTTGGATGATGGAGTGAAGAGAATGCTTATAAAATTTGCGGATGACACCTAGCTGGGAGAGGTTGAAAGCACTTTGGGGGACAGGATTAGAATTCAAAAATATCTTGCTAAATTGGACAATTGGTCTGACATCAGTAAGATGAAATTCAATAAGATGAGTGCAAAGTACTTCACTTAGGAAGTAAAAATCAAACACACACATACAAAATGGGAATAACTGGCTAGCCAGTAGTATTGCAGAAAAGGATCTGGAGGTTCTCCATGTCCACCAAGGGTAGGATAAGAAGTAATCATCTCTGTTTGCAGCAAGGAAGATTTAGGTTAGATATTAGGGGAAATTGTCTAATTATAAGGGTTGTTAAGTACTGGAATAGTTTACCAAGGGAGACTGTGGAATCCCCATCATTGGAGGTTTTAAAGAACAGGTTAGACAAACAACTAGGTGTAGGCATATTTTATCCTGACTCAGCATGGGGGGATTGGCTAGATGACCTCTTGAAGTACCTTCCAGCCTTACTTTTCTATGATTCTTTAATTATGAACAATACTTTTTACATTAAGAATCGCATGAGGCGTTGTAGCTATAATTTGGTTTGATCTCCAGTTCTTCCACTGTGTTGTGCTTCAGTTTTCTTGCGGGCTGTGAAATGATTGTGTGCATGCTAAAAAGTGAAGCCTGTACTTATGTGCTTTGCTGAACCAGAGTATAACAATTAAATTATGCTGTTGCCACTTGGTTTAATAAAAAGTACCTCTCAGTATCCCCAGGGGTTTGTGAAAGTAGTAAATACATGCATGCATAGGTGCCAACTTTTACTTTTCCCCGGGGGTGCTCCACTTCCTCTCTGTCTGAGGCCCCGCCCCCACTCTGCTCCTCCCCTCAAGGCGCCACCCCCACTCTGCCTCTTCCTGGCCCTGCCCTGCCCCCTCCCTGAGGCACCACCTTTGCTCTGCCTCTTCCTCCCCCTCTGCACCTCCCTCCCCCAAAGCCTCACCATCGCTCCACCTCTTCTCGCTCTCACTCCGCCCCCTCCCCGAGGCCTCCGCCCACCCGCCGCTTGCTGGTCTCTGCCCTCCCTCCACCCCATTCCGAGCTGCCGAACAGCTGTGGCTGGTGGGTGCTGAGCACCCACTATTTTTTTTCCATGGATGCTCCAGCCCCGGAGCACCCACGAGTAAGTGCCTGTGCATGCATGCATCTCAAGTCTGCACCCAGGCCATTAAGAGAGAAGTTTATGCTGGCCCTGTGTCTGTGTTCTAAAGGGGGAATAGGCACAAGCAGCCCTGCTTCCGTCCAGTGAAAGCTGCATCCAAAATTCAGTGGCAGGTTGGTGAAGAAAAGAGGGGGGCAACCAGTGCAGCTAGCAGTGATAACAGCCCCAGAGGTGATGTCAGTGGAACTGCACCTTTCAAAGATGTATCATTTCCCTCTGCATTCATCCCCTCTCCTCCGCGCGAGTGGTAGCATTATGCCTTTCAAAGGCCGTTCAGTGGTCTGCCTCTCCCCTCACCTCCCCAACACAGGCCTATCTTAAAGGAGTCAAATATTTGCCCTAAATATGGCCTTTGATATCCTTGATAATAGTGAAAATGGGAGGGTAGGGTCTTTTCTGGGAATTTTCCCAGCCATTTCTTTGCAATATCAGTTTCCATTTCATTTATTCACTTCTTATAAGAGCATAATCTCATGCACTGTACATAGACTGCATTTGTACGTTCTGGATAACCGTTGCAATAGTGCCAAAATGATTTAGGTGTTTTAGGTCCCATTGACTTTCAATTGGATTTAGGCTCTTTTAAAAGGGAAGGCAGGAAGGGGGGGGTGTGGGCAGAGGAGAGAGAGAGAAAACTTTCCAAAGTGAAATGTCCTTACAATATTTTGTCATCTGTGTAGCAAAGGGTCAAACCTTTCCTTTTTTAATTCAGTGTTGTTTTTTCCAGCTGTGTGGCTTGAGGTACATATTTCACAGATGACCTCATTTTGGCAAGGGAAGCTATTAGTGGTAGAGAAGAGTGTGTAAGCTAGTTTGAATCATTACTAGCTTTTGCTTGCGAAGCAAAACTCACCTGAAGCAAAACTCACCTTTTGTTTGCTATCATAACTATGAAAGGGTTATTTTAGGACATCATTACAATAGGTTGTGTTCTCTAATTAGTTTTTCCTAAGTTACAGATGAAAATGTTTGAACCTTAGTTATTTTTCTCACAAGAGATGATAAAGTGAAAAAGATTTTCTAGTTATTCATGAAATTAAAAATTTAAAGGGATACATCAACATGTAATCAAGTCCAGTTATTTTTTTTAAAGTTGTTTCAGGAACTGTGACTGTTTTTTTACTCTTTGCTGATTTTTATGGTTTTACAATAGATTTTTCTTTTTTTTTAATCTTCTCCCTGTTATGTGAAAGAACTAAACAGAGAGGGAACTGACCAACTGAATGACTATGCAGAACAAACAGCTAAATGTTGTCAAATGCACAAAGCAAACCAAAAATGTCATTTTCCTCTAATCCCACACCAAAGGTTCTTAAGCAAAGTAAGCAGTCATGGGATAAGTGGAAAGGTCCTCTCAGGGATCAGTAACTGGTTAAAAGACAGGGAACAAAGGGTAGGAATAACTGGCCAGTTTTCACAGTGGAGAGAGATAAATAGCAGGGTCCCCCAACGATCTGTATTGGGACCTGTGCTGTTCACACCCTTTTCCAGATCATTTATAAATACATTGAACAGTGACGTGGCAAAATTGGCAGATGATACAAAATTACCCAAGAAAGTTAAACCCAAAGATGACTGTGAAAAGGGATCTCACAAAACTGGGTGACAGGGCAACAAAATGGCAGATGAAATTCAATGTTTATAAGTGCAAAGTAGCACACATTGGAAAACATAATCCCAACTACACATACAAAATGATGGGGTCAAAATTAGCTGTTACTACTCAAGAAACAAACCTTGGAATCATCATGGATAGTTCTCTGAAAACATCTGCTCAATGTGCAGTGTCAGTCAAAAAAGCGAACAAAATGTTAGGAACTAGTAGGGAAGGGATAGATAATAAAAGAGGGATGCAACTCTCATGCTCTGGTTTTGACTGCCAGAAGCTGGGACTGGACAGTTCTGTCCATTTCCTCTGACGCATCTGGCACTGGCCACTGTCTGGATGCTGGATGAACTGTTGCTCTGAGCCAGTATGACCGTTCTTATATTCTTAACACATTTCAGACAGAAGTGTGATTGCTAAGCTGATGATATGCCTTTGCTCTGGTGTCATGAAATAGGCATCTGGCCACTTCTCCCTCATGCCCTTTACAGGGCAATTGTCTTTATTAAATACCACCCATAATGCATTGCATTTTGGCAGAGCATCTTATTTTCAGGACTTGACCTATACTCAACTGATGCTCCAATCAGAGTCTTGTGGGAGGGCATAGTAAGGGAATTGGGGGAGTCACTGGGTTTTTCAAACTAATTCTTTATTCATATTTTGTTTGTGAGAAAAAATAGTATCAATATTAAGGTGCTTACAAGTAGGTTGGCTGTTGTGTGATTGCTACCATGACAATCAATAGCATTTGTCAGCACTTCTACACTGTTTTTAAAAAGCAAAAGGTCGTTTTTGAATAGCCCCAACATCAGGTTCCAAGAATTTATCTTTTCCTGCTAGAATCTACAATATATGTTCCAGAGACATAAAGTCTCCCAGGAATAACACAAATATTTATTGTTGAGACCCTTATTACCCTGACATCTTAATGCTGGTCAGCCCTGATTTCACACTGCTAAGCACTAAAGCATCATTGAAGAGTTCTAATTCCTTGTGCCAAGGAGTTCATTAAAAAGCTCCTTTCAAACACTGAACTAAAGCACTAAATGAAGCTGAAAATCCTCCTCCAATAAGCATGATGACTGAGCCAGTGAGGGTTGTGCTACTTACCAAAGAGACCAAGATTTTAGAAAGAAGTTGATTGGGGAGACTGTTTTGTTTTTCTCCCTTCTTCCCCTCCCCCGCCAGTTTCTAAAAGATGGAAAACCGTACCTGTTGTTAGGCCCCTGGGGATAGGGAGTAACTATGTATTGCTAGGCCTTGGCATTGCTAATTTTTCAGTTAGTTTGTGTACTGCTTTCCCCTCCCTACTGATAGCAGCAGTGAAGAGAAAAGGTATGTGGGAGGAATAGTGGGGATTTTAGCCATGAGCCACTGTCCACCGATGGCTCTAACTTCCCAGTGGAGATTGCGGAGGTTAAAATCAAATAATCACATCAGGATTCTAAATCACAGCACTTCACACAGTGGAGTAAGACTGGGGCTCTAAGGCTCAACTGCAATATGAATAAATAATCTTTTCAATAATTGAAGGGGTTTTTTGTTCTCTGCCCCATTGTCACATCAGACCACTTGCATTAGAAATGGTCAAACACTTGAGAAAAACTAAGGTGGGATTAAAATTGCTCTTTTGTGCTTCTAAATATTATAGAGAGGTGCAAGCCATATTCCTGGGTTTAGTTTCACTTCAGTGAAGCATTTCTGAGATAATATTTTACTATTGTTATTTTAAACTCTTACTAGTAACGTGTTCTGGTGATGTTTAAAACTCTAGTAGACCAGGAAAAGTTCTAAAATATGAATAGGGAAACCTTTAAAGACTACAAATTTTGAAACAGGCTCTTTCAACATTTACACCATTGAAGATTACAAGAGCAGTTTTACAGTCTTATAAATGATCCTCTTGTAC